TTTTTTTTTTTTACCTTTGTGTGTGTGTGGCAGGGGTCAGAGGACAAGTTGCTGGAGTCAGCTCTCTTCTATCATGTGGGTCCCAGGGATTGAACTCAGGTCATCAGGGTTGCTGCCAGGTGCCTTCACCAGCTGAACCATCTTGCTGGCCCATCTCTCCCATTCTTTGAACCTCCCCATTCTGTTCACCCTCCCTGTTCCCTCTGACTTCCTGTAGATGTGGACCAACCCAACCCATGATTCTCATCCTACCTAGAAAGCCAGGCTATCAACAAGACTTCTTCCACCCCCACACCTCATCTTAATCTCACCATGGCCCATGCCCTCCCAAGCTGCCCATGGCTCTAAACAAGAAGTGGCTCTTCTCCTATGCCAGAGAGATCCTTCTAAAATGCCACACTGGTCACATCACCCCTCTACTTAAAACACCTTGAATGGCTCCCCATTGCCTCAGGCTCATTTCTGAATACCCATGCCTAACATTCAAGGAGAGATCCCCTCCACCACCCTCTTTACTCCGAACATTTAGTTTCCCCAAATGAGCTTCTGAGCTACAGAGGCCCTTCTTCCTTGTCTCTGTTTAAGGTGTTGCTCAGGTGCTGTCCCTCTATGAAGCCTGCCCTGGTGATCCTCCCCAGCAGAATCAGAGTGAACTGCACAGAGAAGCTGGGTTTGAGCAAAGGCAGGGTAACAAATGAGGGTGGCTGTGGCACCCTCGGGGTACTTCAAGGGCTGCCTTCCTGCCCTCTTCTCGGTTGGGCCTGATAGAGGGATGGGCATTTACCAGTCCCTCTATCTGATCTAGCATGTTTCTGTATGTACACCAAACAGCAGTAATGTGTACTGAGAGCTTTTCATGAGACAAGTAGTATTTTGGACATTGCCATGTATATCATGCCCCCGACCAATTGCTTACCTTCTGCCACCTCAGTACCATGCTTGTAAAATGGGTATAATTCACATCTCCCCATGTGTTCGAAGGAATGTGCAGACACCTAGGAAAGTGCTTCTAGTCAGAAATGCTCACTATTATGATTACACTTCCCCCCTACCCCTTCCAGGGGCACAGCAGCAGTGGAGATTGGCTGGAATTAGAAGGGGCTTGACTGCTATGGTGGGTCTATGCCAGGGACCACCTGCAGCCCTGCTCTGTAGATGTGAAGCCACTAAGTGCAGTGGCAGCCCCTTTCCCAAGTTCATATGGGACAGAGCCTTCTTGGGCCCTGTTTAGCCTGGGACAAGGTCCTTCACCCCCCGAGGGCAGGCAGCATTGCCCAGTTTCAGTGTTACCTGCCCCAGCCAGCACCTTCCTGGACACAGCCAGTCCTGGGCTCTAGTGGCGTGCTTTGCACTCACTTATGCTCAGAGGCCTTTTGTCAAGGTCCTGCACCTGGTGCAGCTCCTTGTGGATAGAGCTGACTGAAGCCTTCTCAGCCCAGGGACGGGAAGGCCAGCAGTAGGGAGAACAAAGACCTGGCCGGAAGGAGGGCACTCAAGGCGGCTTCTGCCTCTCACACTGACTCCTACAAGACACTGGCAGGTTGGGAGGTCTGATACTCTCATTCCCTCAATGGAGGAGGTTGCCCCTGGAGAGAGGAACAGAAGGGAGGGGAGTGGGAAACTCTAAATGGGAGAATCTAGGCTCTCTTACACTCATCTTCAGACAGCGTCAGAGAGGTGACACAGCGTGCGTGTGCAGGGGTATGACTTCACACGGGTGTGCTGGAGGACACACGGAGTCTGGCCCCTTGAGAGTGGGTGGTGGTGGTGGGGGGTGGCTGTGGCTCTGCACACTTGGAGTGAGTCTATGCTGAGGGACAGGGAAGACAGAGAAGGCATATCCATCCTGAGCAGAGCTGAAGTTCAGCGCCATGGCCTGGAGCCTGAGATAGATGCACAGGTTTAATGTGGGGGGTGCGGAGGGAGGTAGGGAGGAGGGGAGGAAGGGGGGAGGGAAGGGGGGAGAGAGAGAGCGAGAGAGACTTAGCTCATGAAATAGCATGCAGGTGCACAGCGCCCCCTGCTGGACAAATAGCCCCAACCACAGCAACTTGCCAGCCCAAGCTCTTGAATCCTCACCCAACAACACAGGGCAGGTGTCACCAGCAGGAAGCTGGAGACCAGTAACTCTCTCTCTGGCTAGATGCCCTACCCATGCCAAGGGTCTACCTCTCCTAAGCCCACCGTTCACCCTTTCACACCTCCTTGGGGTCCTTTAGAGAGAGGAATATAAACTTCTGGGCTGGAGTGAGGCCAGTCACAGATGTACCTGAACCAGTCTTCTGAAAGCCAAGAGAGGCTTTCCTCTTTTCTGCACCTCCTCCTGGGTAGTGGGTGAGGTGGGTTGAGGAGGGGTTTCTTCCTGGTGGCCCCAGGGAACCTAAGCCTGAGAGACTCCTACTTTTGAGCTCCCAGCCTCATCCCCACCTGGCCAGAGCACAGTCCTAGGGAAGAGGACAGATTGTAGATTTGGTGGGCGAGTCTGCCCCCTGCTGGTCAGAGCTGGCCCTTGCACCCCCACCACCCCGGCCCCGCAGGAAGGTGGAGGCGGCAAGATGGGCCACATTCTCTCACACACATTCTGTGACTTGGTGGTCCTTGGAAGCCTGTGGGGTAGGTAGGCAGGTTGGGGCCTGTGGTTGCTGCTCCTACTCAGACCTCAGGCTCTTTCGGAAGAGAACTGGGTGGTCCAGTCCCTCAGCCTGGGTCTGCAGCAGCCCCTGGAGCTGCTTTTCCCTTTCCTTCCTGTGGCTTCTCCTGCCCTGCAGAGGTAAAGCCGAGGAGAGGTTCTCCGGACGCCCTGCAGTATCAGGCAAGTCTGGAGAGCAGAGGCCCTGTTCATCCATATCCCAGTTCCTCTCCAGACTACAGGGACCTGGCCCTGTCTGTACCAGCACCTTATCTTCAGTCTGTCTCATTTTCTCACAGCAACCCATGTGGTAGGGAAATATAAACCCAGTTTAAGGGTTTGTTATTCAAGTTGCAGCCCTTCACTCTGCACACCTTAACTGTGACTCTGGGCTGGGTCCTGAGCTGCTCCTTCCCTGTTCCTCACACAGAGCTGGCCAGTGCCAGGCACCTCACTCATCTGGTTCCCATCACTACCCTGTGAAGAAGCGTTCTGATGTCATTTTACAGGTTAAGAGATGAGGCTCAGAGGTTGCAGGATGAAGGCAGACAAGGACAGGAGGGAAGGATGATGTGACAGGGGACCCTGAAGGGCAGAGGTAGAAGAGAGGAGACCTGGGAAAGGGCTGGGCAGGGAAAAGCTGCTGTGCATGTATAGGGATGTTGCCACCTCTGCTCACAAGCTATCAACATATCTCCTTTCAGAAACGTGGAGATCCAGAAAAGGCCCTGGGCTGGGCCTCTTCTCATGACAGAACCTGGCTGGTCACTCCTTCGGAATCTCAAGGGGCTGCAGTCAGTTCCCTTCTCCACCCTGCCTGGCACACCCAGGCCCTTCATAAGTTATCAGGGACTTGACATAGCTGAAGGGAGACATGGGGGTGGGGGGGAGGCATGTGACTTCTGTGAGGACCCCTTCTCTGTTCTCAGCCCCCCCCCACCCTTTCTGGCCTCTTGATCTGTTTCTAGGGCCTCCTGTTTCTATATTTGGTCTTCTCTCTCTCCCCCACTCCCCCAGCTCTCTGATCATCTCAGCCTCTCCTTAGTAGCTTCTCTTTCTTTTCAGAGGACTTGTCTTGGTTTTCTTTGTACTCTGTGGTAATCACAAGTGAGGATATGAGATTACCAAGAGGAAAAGTGACTGGCCAGTGTCCCAGGAGGTTTCTGGAGAGAGAGGCAGATTATGAAGAGCATTGCTTTATTGAGAAGCCCTCAACCCAAATACCAGCAGTCCCCCAATCCTTGGCCAGAAATAAATAAGGTGGTATTCAATGAATCATCTGTCCCTCTGCTGAGGAGCTCTTGGGGGAAGTCCCCTCTGCCAGTGTCCCAGGAGGTTTCTGGAGAGAGAGGCAGATTATGAAGAGCATTGCTTTATTGAGAAGCCCTCAACCCAAATACCAGCAGTCCCCCAATCCTTGGCCAGAAATAAATAAGGTGGTATTCAATGAAGTATCTGTCCCTCTGCTGAGGAGCTCTGGGGGAAAGTCCCCTCTGCCCACCGGGGGGCTGGCTCTGGCACTTAAGGGGTTGGATTGGGTGGAAGAAGCAGACTGCAAACCACCCCTTTCTGGTCTGGCCCTGGGAAGCCTGTGAGGTTGGCACTGTGTTCACAGTCTCTGAGATCTGACTTATGGCAGCACACTCTGCGCAAACCTAGAGAGACCCTATCCCTATCAGACTCCAGACCCTGGCCCCCACCCAAGTATCCCCATCATGGACTCCTGCTCCCATCTTTATCTGCAGCATGGGGAGCCAGTGCCTCTTCCTCAGCCAAGAGGACCAACTCTGGGGAAGGATGCTTTGAGGTCTATTTTTCTTCTTTTTTTCCTGTACTTCAGGGCCTAAGGGGCTGGCCCCTGTCTGATGCTGGTCAGTGTGCTGTCAGCTCTATGGTCTTTTTCCGTTCCTCCCGATGTTCCTCCCAGTCCTCCTCAGGCTCATATGTGCCCTTGATGACAGCCACACGCTCACTGAGGCTCAGGGAGGAGGGGAAGAGCAGATAGAAGTAGAGGATGGCAGCCAGGATGGCCCCTACGATGGGCCCCACCCAGAAGACCTGTGGAGACAGAGTCGAAGTCAGAAGCTGAGCTCCAGGCCTCAGGGACCATGACTTTCCCCACCAGAAGACAGATCCATGGACCCTCAGAGGAGATGGATATACAGACTTCCGGATCTCCAGAGGGAAGGATGTCTTCCCACCTTGTGGACTGATACACTGTCAGCCCAGTTCTCAATGGCAAAGTCATGGATCACAGACACACAGACCCTCTAAGGAGGTAGGCAGAACCCAAGATGGACAGGCTTCCCAACCCCACCCTGGAGGGAGGCAAATGAACCTTCTGAGGAGACGGGGCCTTAGACACATGTGTTTTCCAAGATGCAAAGCTGAGCCAGCTGCTCCCCTTTTGAAAACCCTGCAAGGGCCTCTGCTGCCCCCCCTTTGGAGCTCCAAGCCTGACTGCTGCATGGTGGCAACAGATTGTTCAGAGGAACAGACCTGCAAGAACAGCCTCCCAAGCTCTCTATAGGGATAGATAAGTAAAACCCCAAAGGACAAATATACAGAGGGACAGACAAAAATCCTCAGAGGAGAGCAACACAGATCCCCTCTGTAACTCTAGAGAAAGTACAGATCCCATCTCTAGAGGGGTGGACGCTTTCCACCCCTGGCTGCACCTCATTCCCTTCTGTGTTCACCTCTCTCTCTCAGGCCATACATCCCAAGCCCACCCCCAAGTTCCAGGCTCTGAGCATCCAGAAAGTTCTGTTGGTTCTCTGCACTGCCATGTTTGCAGCACTCAGTGCCAGGGATCCAGGGAGGGCCCACACTCACCCAATGCGAGGGGCTGAACCGCTTCATGACCACCGCAGGGCCAAAGGAGCGGGCTGGGTTCATGGAACAGCCAGTGAAGTAGATCTGGGTAGATGGGGGCAGCAGTGAGGAAGGCTCCATCTCCACCACTCCCAGAGGACCCCGACTCTCCCAGGGTCACACAGCAGTCCAGGTATCAACCACGTTTCAAACCCAAGCCTCCCAATTCCCAGGCTGCTGACTCCTTCCATGGATCCCAGCTGTCCACCTAACCATGCACCCCTACCCATAGCCCCCTCCCTTCTCTGCCTTCTGTTCAGGCTTGATTCCCTGATCTACCCTCCCTTTCCACTTAATTCACATCTTTTCCTAGCCTAGAGGGTTTTATTGGGAGAGGGGCGTCAAAGCTAGGGCTCAGTAGGTCCACAGCCTAGCAGCCCCAGGATCAGGCCCTAAACTCCGCTGCGTCTAATCAGTCTGGAAGGAATCTGTTCTGGGGCTCCATTATTCGTCCTGTGGCTTCCCGCCATGACACCCTAGCTACTGTTAGCCTTACTCACCCCCACGAGGTGGCCCAGTGTGACAGACAGGCCAATGGACAAAGCTGGGGAGCCCACAGGGCTGGTGCGTCGGGAGTCAGTAGAGGAGAAAATGCAGAGTGCCAGCTGGAAGGTCAAGATCAGCTCCACCACCGTGGCCTTGCCAGGTGTTGTGTTGTTGTTAAGCTGTAGGGGTAAGCTGCGTTAGAACCCTGCTGCCTTTAGGCTCTGTGACCAGAGGTAGGGAAGCAGGGCTTTGGGCCTTCAAGGACACCTAGAAAGGTAAGTCCTGCACATGACAAACCAGAAAGGCCATTCGCTGGCAAGACTACTTCAGTGTGCACAAGCTTGACGCTCAGGCCTGTGGCCAAAGGGCAGGGTGTCAGGAGAGTGTTCCTGGACGCCATCCTGTCAACGGCTCTGACCAATCCCCAGCCCCAACAAGCTGGCATTTACCCTCCCTCCTGTGGGCAGCTGCCCAGTTTGCCTACTGCAAACTGCCCCTGGCCTCCTACCCATGCCTGACCTGCTGCTGGTGCCAACCTCAAACCCGTCTCTCCGGTGTGGCTGACTCACAGCTTGACAATGGCGGAGAAAATCCTCCTCTGTGTTTGATTAAGGAACCTAGTTCACATGGGACAGGGGATTGAATCTAGGACTGCAAAAGTAGGAAGGAGGCAGCAAGGGGCATGAGTCAGGGTGGCAAAAGGGAGCTCCAACATCCAACAGACACCACTATGCACCGGCATCATATGAGAAGACGGTCACATCATGGTTTCTAAGTGTAATGTCCATGATACCTGCTTTGGTATGACCATCCCCACGTAATCGATAAGAAATAGGAAACACTGAGAAGCTAAGGCTACCCCAAAGCACCATTACCACTCATTGCTCTCTTATGGTTCCATTAAAACTATATAACCAAGGGGATGACAAGGAAACGCAGAGGTGAGGGAGGAGTCAGGAAGAAAGGGTGTTTCCGCAGGTTCAGGAAGGGAGGCCAGATGGAGGAGAATAAGGGGAGGGGGCAGACCAAGTAGAATATGAACAGAGGCTGAGGTTGGGGCGAACAGTTTGGCCAGTAGATTGGTCTGCCAGGCCTTCCTGGAGAAGGTGTGCATCGGCCCTTTGATTGTATCCATTCTCAAGATGGGGCTTGGGGAGGGGGGTCTCCTAAATGCGTCCCGGGGTCTCTGCCCACCCCTCTACAGTCTCATGGGCACTCACCGCATTGACGGCCAGGTTACCGCGGGCATTGAGTGGTGCTAACCAGTAGAGGAGGCCTGCCCCAGCAATGGCGCCCACCAGCTGTGCGGCCACATAGAAGATAGCTCGGAGCAGCGAGATCTGGTTGCCTACTAAGAGGGCCAGAGTAATGGCCGGGTTGATGTGGCCACCGCTCACAGGTCCCAGAGCTTGGGCCAAGGTACCTATGGCCAGGCCAAAGGCCATGGAGATCTGCAGAATGGAGGGCAGCGCCGAGGGCCACTTGAGTGCCGAGCCAAGGCCGAAGAAGACGAAGATGAGGGTGGCCAGGAACTCTGCAAACACGGCCTTGAGGAAGGCTATGGAGCACACCTCCTTCTTCATGGTGGCCTCGGGGGCCCGGCGACAGCGGCTGCGTCTCGCAACGGCCGTCGGGGCGGCTGCGGCGGGGGCGGCAGGAGTTTGGCTGCGGGACGCCGTGCGCGGTGCGGCGCCCACTCCGTGCCTGGCGGCCT